GGATTCACCCCCGCCTGCGTACCCGCAGACCTAGAAAGCTTGGTCATGGCAGTAACAACACAAGTGTATATGTACTCGCCATGACCAATGATTCTTTCTTGAACGGCCCACCGAGAGTTTCAATCGGATGTCTATGAAGCGATCAGACCACACGGTTGGTTCGTGGTGTAGTCGTATATATTGTGCCGCGTGCAAGCCAGACTGTAGCGCCTGTCCATAAGCAGAGCTACGCTGGAGAGCCCGGGAAGCGTCGATAAAGGACCACCCGGGGCAAGGAGGTGTAGTACGACGTAGGAGCCGCGCTAGGGCGAGTATGGGTCCTGGGACGACCGCGAGAGGATTGCGCCTGTGTGACAGCTAACGAAGAAACGATAGACCACGATGCGCATGGGGTCCGTACAAGAAAATGGGCTCGGCCCTCGCATCTCGAGCCTGAGGCTGTGCAAGCCATTGACAGGCTCACGACCAATCCGATGACCGACCGCTACCTGCTGCTTTGGCGCCGCTCTCCCGTTTCAAGCTACCAAATTCCATTGATACTAACGTGAAGAGTCTTTCCAATTATTTCGAGGAATAAACTGCAAGGGCATGTCCCAGAAAAGTGGAAAGCCGCGCATATCGCTAGGTCGGCCTGTTCCGACGAGATCTAGACGCGAGGCCGTGGCCGTTGCGGCGTCGCGGCCGTTCTATGACCTCATGTTGAGTCCAAACAAGGGGCGCCCAGCCGCAGGAGGCCGCAGGTTCACTCGCACACCTTGTGCGGTGTGGCCTATCGTTTCTTCGTTAGCTGGAAAGAGAACGAGAGCGACGGCGGGTGACACGAGCACCCGCCCGAGGTGTAAGGGCGCCGGGCGTCACGTCGGTTCGACTGCAATCACTTACTGTATGTTCAGCCTCGGGGGCACGGACCGGTCTTCACCGGCCGACAGAATTGTGGCTCCTTGGTCCAGACTCCAGTACCTACTCAACTCTATCCACCATCACCATTTTCAAACCCGCCTTCTCAGCTTCTCACGCTCTTACCCTTATCAAGTGCGCTACAACAAGGCCGCTAGAATGACACGGCGTTGAGATATTGCGCCTGAGTGAACCATCTCATGAAAGGTTGAGGCCGATGACGTGCCTGTCACCCGCGCCCGAATGCCCTGAGCACTACTGCCTTCACATGCACGGTTCGCATCTCAACCACCGTCCACCATGTCCTCAAGCATCATCCCAAAGGACTTCAACGTCGGAGGGATACGCGCACACGTCTACGCGCGTCCCGGCGTACTCCCATCTCCCGGCGATGCACCTGTGGCGCCCGGAACCCTTCCTGTCTCAGTTCTCTTCGCGCTGCATGGGCGATTGGGCGATTCGAACAACGATTACATTGTGGCGACTGCGAACGAAGCTTTGGAGTATGTCAGCGCGCAGGAGAAGGAGACGGGAGAGTTGGGCCGTGAGCTGATCGTAGTGAGCTTCGTGCGTCCAGATCTCTGACATGAAAGTCTTGTTGCCGTGCGCTGATTTGACGAATGCAGGATCATCGCAATCATGGCGAGCGTATGGTAGACGCGCTTGGGAATGAGGGCTGGAGCAAGAAGTCGACGGAGAAGCACAATGAACGGCACGCGTGAGTGGATTCTGTCTCGGGCGTCTTGAGATGCGTATTGACGCAGCCGCGAGATAGAGTGGACATGTATGCTATACAGAGTACGCAACATATTACGCATCTGCACGAAGGATGTCCACTAACATCACGTATCAGCCGGTACCGCGAAGGACGTATCATTCCTCATCGACTTCCTACCCGCCTATCTCTTCCCAAACGACGAACGCACGATCACGACCTGGGGCATGCTTGGTGTCTCTCTAGGCGGACACGCTACGTGGATAACGCTCAAGAACGGTCAGTGCGCCACAAGCTCTCGTTGCGTCCATACTGACAGGCATCCATAGAACCGCGGCTAACGGTTGGCATACCCGTCATCGGATGCCCAGACTACCTCACTCTACTGGAACTGCGTGCAGACAAACACGGTCTTCCACTCGCCCCTCCATACATGCCGTCTTCTCTGCGCGCCCACATCCAAGCGCACGACCCGATCACCGCAGACTACACATCAACGAGCGCGTCCAACCCGTTCGGTGGGAAGCGCATCCTGGTGTTGAGCGGTGCCGCCGATCCGCTGGTACAATGGACAGCCTCGTCTGCCTTTGTGGAAGAGCTGCAAGTTGGGACGAGCGGACGGAAAGAGGTGAAGGTGCTGGAAGGCGTGAAGCATGAGTATACGCCTGGGATGCGGGAGACGGCTATCCGCTTTATCTGGGAAGAGATGGTGCGCGCATGAGAGTGGTGGTCGGCACTCTGCTCCATCCATGTCGAGAACCGATCCATTGTTTGCATGCCACGAATCCAATACACATCGTACAGCATCCTCACAGAACTAAGGCCGAATCGGCTCCGGCTGCGGCCACCGAGCCGTATCGCCACCCCGCTTGATCCAGAACCCATCCTCGCTCTCGAGCCCATTCCCAAAGTAGTCGAATGGGAAGCCCGGGTTGAACGGCGCGAAGCCCTCTAAGAACTTCATCTGCTCGGGGGAGAGCGAGATGGTGAGGGCCTCGATGTTGGCCATGAGATGCTCGACTTTGCGGCCGCCGACGATGGGGAAGACGTAGGTCGTCTTCATCATGAGGTACGCGATAGCGACTGTCCTCGCGCGTCAGCGGGATTGGTCTCGGAAAGATACAGAGGAGAGTGGCATACCAGCCTGAATACTCTTCGCCCCGACCTCACCCATAACCCTCTCCAGCGCGCCCGCCATCCTCCTCTCCGCCTCATCCCTCTCCCACCCCGAAAACATCGTCCGCCCCCTCTCCCCGCTCGCCCTCCTCTCCTCCTCCTCCGCGTCCGTGCGGATATGTCCCCGCGCGAGGACGTCCCACGGCGCGAGCGCGAGCCCCTCGGCGCGCGCCATGGGGATGATGTCGCGCTCGAAGTCGCGCGCGAGGACGTTCCAGCGGCCTTGGTAGACCGAGAAGGGCGTCTTGCCGTGGTCGCGGGCGTATTGGTTCGCTTTGGAGACGATCCAGGCGGGCGTGTCTGAGATGCCCTACTTGCTGTGAGCATTCGATCATCAGGGTGGAGAAGAGGTGCGCGTACGAGGTAGAGAACCTTCTCGGCCATGACGAGCTTGTGGAGGTTGTTCATAACTTCCTCGATGCTGGTTCCGTAGTCCCACCAGTGAACATAGAGAAGATCGATGTACGATGTGCGCAGCTTCTTGAGCGACGCATCGACGGAGACGCGCAGGGACTTCGAGTTGTTGCCGCCGTAGTTGATCTTTGTAGCGACCTCGGGGTCATGTTTCTTGAACTGCGTCGTGTACTACAGATGCAGTGGCACTGAGGATCAGTATGAGACGTGTGCGACGTATGATAGAAGTACGAACCTTGGTAGCGATCACGATTTGGTCCCTTATACCGCGCGCCTCCATCCACTCCCCCAGAAACGCCTCCGACGTCTCGTCCTGACTATCCCTCATCAGCCCGATCCAGGTTCCTCAAACACACAGACATGACTCACTATGCATTAGCAGTATCAACAAAATTCCCGCCCGCCTCAAAGAACGCGTCGAGCAGCCTAAAACTGCTCTCCTTGTCCATAGCGCCCATGCCCTGCGTCGCCCACGCGTCGCCGATGCTCATGGCGCCGAGACAGAGCGGGCTGACGCGCACGCCGGCGGTGGGGGAGAGGACGCGGTATTTGCCGAGGGGCGTTGGGGCGGGGCCAAGGGCGCCGAATGTGCTGCCTGGTTGGGGGGCTTGGAAGTTGGACATTGAGTGAGTTGAATGGAATGCTGCTGTTGAAGGTGGAAGAAGTAGCGCTTGGAGATGCTGTGGGGTGTGAGTTGCAGCATATATACCGTTCGAAGACTATCCACTTCAACTTCAAATCATGCTGTGGGGCCCAGCGACATTCAGAAGTGTACTGTGGATGCCCTCGTACTTCAGTACACCCCACATAACTCTCCGAGTAAGTTCATTGAGCGAATGTATGTGTAACCTTCCAATAGTAGCGGCAGAACCCACACATTATGAAGTAGCACTTACACAATACAACCGAGAGTCGGTGGATCACGAGCACGGGTGACCCACTTTCGCGTAGTTTTTGGATTCGCTTCCATAGACGTGTTGTAGCGACGGGCGCCTAAAAGAAAGGAAGGCCGATGAAACCGGAATATTGGATTGGAACAGGGAAAGACATTCGATGGTACTATGCCGTGCGATCATGAATCTCTTCGTGCAAAAGGTTGTGGCTCGTCGTCTTCGCTCTCCTCCTCGCTCTCCTCCTCGTTCTCGCCGGGTTCAACAGCTCCTCGTCCATTCGCATGTCCACCCGCATCATCCTCTCCACCCTCCTCCTCCCCCTCCCCCTCCTCTTCCTCTTCTTCGCCACTCTCTTCATCTTCGCTCTCCTCCTCTTCGTCGTCCTCCTCTTCGCTCTCGCTGGCGTAGAACGAATCAAGATCCTGATACGCCGCCTTCCCCTTCCCCTTCTCCCCCTCCTCGCTCGGCCCAGTAGGCCTAAGCACCACCGGCGCCGCACTCCCTCTCCCCGCACCACCCGCACCTCTCGGCACCCCCCCGCC